TTTCCTAGCCATCCCTTTGCAGTCTTTCACTCTTTTCCTCATCAACTGATTCTCAGTTCATGTCTTCAGCGTTTCATTACGCTCATCTACAGCCACCCATCTATGTGTATCAGACAATGTCAATCACCTCTTTCAAAACCCCATCCTAAATTTCCCAGTCTTTGGCCTGCCTCCTGCCACTTCAGGCTATCTAAACGTCTCTGTATCTGCTACCCTGTTAGATTCAGTATCTCTTCTTAAAGGCGGGAAATATATGAAAGAAAAACTAAATTTCACCTTCTGCTTTCAGCAAGCTCTTCTCAACAGTAAACATTTTCCTGATTTTCAGTCATCTCTTCTTTCACAATGAGGAACAACCTTTTGCAAATTAACATCCGTTATCAAAATCTGTATTTTAAGTACCAGGAAAACATCATGTAGTATGGCCAAGAATGTGCGTTCATAAATACATGAACATTTTAGATACTGCTTTAAATATGCAACTTCTAATTTTAAAACTTTTCCTGAAAACAATTTTATATTTAGTAAAGCACCATTCCCAAAAGGTATTATACAAGCTGTACTAAAATAGAGATATTTCTGTACTATAACTCTAAAGGTGTGCGGAAAATACCCATTTTTCACTGCAGATGGACAGTGGAAGTAAAAAGTGAATACTTTTCACATGGAAGTGAACAGTGCTCAACACTTCGTAAAACTGATCTCTTAGTCTATGTTACAGCAATACAACAATATGATAATTAATTAAAGTTTGTGATTTTTGTTGCAGGAATTTATTACCTAGCAGAACAGTGGTACTTTGCAAACCCAAATATTTTAGAATTACATTACCCTTTTGCTAGTGAAAATTTGTATTACAGTAATGTACTGGTTGCTAGTGAAAATACATTTTCCAGATATCTTACTGAGCTCACTGAGAATAAATTATTTTGGTATAATAAAAAGCAAAGGTTGAAAGCTTTAGCATATCGACTAAATACAAACACTCTTGTGAAGATCAACAATAGATGAGCTGTGTTACTCATCAAGCTTCAGTTATTGTAGCTTTTCCAAAGCTACAATGTGAGATACACACACTGGCTTTCGGTCTCAAGATCTGAAAAGTTCATTTACTACACCCCGCTGATAACAGAAAATATTGTGTGTTTCTAAGGCAAGACATTCATGTCACACAGAATTCCCCAGTTCTCTACGCATCAGAAGTAAATGATGTTGACTTCAGTAAGCAAAGCAGAGGACTATCCAGGTGGCGCAGCTGCCAATATTATAGTGCTCACCTGAAGACTGCTATTATCAACTAAAAAAGTGAAACAGCATTTATATGACTTGTTGTTATTTAGTCCTTGTAAATGGAAACCAGCTATTTCACATATTAAACTTCTGACAACGGTATGAGATAGGAAAACAGTAAGATTAAAACAACTTTTAAACATGATTAAAGAGATGTAGACATAAATAAAGCATTATATCACATTTAAATTACCTATATATAAAAGATAAGAGGAATTGAGAGGAAAAAGCTTGCGTTGAATATTTCTCTAAATGAATAAAATAAAATATCATACTTAGATTATTACTGTCTTTGACCCTTACAAATTATAGGTTTTGTTTTGTGGGTTTTTTTAAAAAAAAAAAAGCACTATCCATTTCTGTGCATCTCCAATTACCAATGAAGACAGAGAAGTTTTCACTTTGCATTTGTTCTCTAGTTAGTTACTTTTAGGTTCTCATACACCGTCACAATATTGAGTAGCCTTAGTTGGATGCACAGCAAAAACACTGGTCTTTTTCAACAGATGTTAAAGAGAAGGTCGAAATTTGCGTTAGGTTTCACCAAAACCTTACTGTTTCAAAACTGAACGTCACAACAAAATAGAAGTTCAAGTTAAAAAGGCATGAGGTCAGAACTATAATATTGCCAACTCTGAATCTAGCTTATAATTCAAGAATAATCTAAAAAGAATAGTTTTGACTATCCCGTTGAGAAACAACTAATGAACTGAAAAAAAGGGTGTTTCGAATGCAGATTATTTCCTAGTAGGAACATTTTATTTTTTTCCATTTTCCTATTCACATTAGAATTTTGTTGTATCTAAAACGCAGCTGAACAAAACAAGCTAGTGACGTTAAGCCAGTATTGATGCAGCAGAAAACAACCTTAAATATCATTCTTGACTATTGTTCTGACAACAGCTTATTCCTGTGTGGGGAGGAGGGCAGAGGGGTAAGACAGGAAATCTGAAACTCTGCAGAGATATCCACCAAGGAACCACACAGAGGGCTTCAGGAGAGGGCAGGCATCTCTTGTGTTTGCCTGAACCATGAGAATCGGTAGTTCTAGTCTGCTGTGTTGATACAGCATACAACTTCTTAATCTTCTCTTTATTTTTTAAAAAAAGAGAAGAAAAAAAAGAGAAAAAAACAACTACAGATTTTGGAAGTTTTACCAATAAAATGCTTTTTTTGCAGAATAAAAATATTTTTCTTAAGAAATAACAAGCTGAATAGTTGGTTGATGGGTTCTCAACAGGAAGATGCTGACATGAAATGGACTACAGAAAATGAGATTTATTCACCTGATAACAGAAGGGAAGTTAGTCTTCATATTATTTTCAAGTAGCTAGCTTTGTAAGAAAGTCATCAAAGAAAAGATTAAATCTTTCATCATATACAGAGACTTTAAAATGTTTAACAATGCTATAGAGTACAAGAACATGAAAAGTAAATAAACAATTAAACCAGTTAAGAATTCAAAATAGTGAAAGGCTTCTGAAAACCTGTCACAAACCCAAAGGCTGCCATAATTAGTGTAGGACAAGTCTAACAAGGTATCTGCAGAGAAACAAGAATACTGGTGCAATTCGGTTCAGCTGACAACTCCTTAACGCCTGAATCACACTCAGCAGTATACAGTACCAGAGGCACAAAAGCAGATACAGACACTTGCCTAACAAGCCTTTAAGTTAATACGTGGATCTGTACTTGTCTGTCATGGATCTTTGCTGGAGAAGAAGAAAATGAAGTCCCTTGGAAGGGACCCCTGATTGCCCTCCTCTGCTGTCATATTTATTACATTTTTCACTTCCATAGAAGCTGTAAGGCCTGTTTTAATCCTTTATTAGGTGAAAGAATATTTGGCATTTGAGGCTTACTCTGCTAGCCAACAATTTCACCAAAATTAGTTCTACCTCCACAGAAATACGGATGTGAAAAGGTTCTATTGCTGTCTAGGGAGATGCGAGGATTTGGGGTAGACATGAGGGCTTCACGCTGAAAGAAGTCTCTGAAGAGAAAATGTAGGTATATGGGCCTGCTGGCTCCCTTGGCTATCGTCACAAAAAATGGGTATCCCTCTAAGAAAATGAGAGAACCTTTGACAACATTAAGAACCACTAGTTGTTTTACAGCTCCCAAACCTCCAGGAAGGGTGTGAACTTCTGGAATAACATACAGTTAGAGTACTTTTTAAAATTCATTTTCCAAATAAATTTTGGGTTAGCATTCGTTTTGAAACTCTTCTGCAGTGTCAATTTTCAGTGCACAAGGCCTCCTAACCCGATTTGCACAATTCCTTGGCTAAACAGAGAAGTTTGAAAGTTCCTCACATGGCCAATCCAATACTGAGATCTGGCTTTCCAGCTGAAGGCTGAGCAACAGTGTTTCCAAGAAGCATTTGAAAATATCATGTAATAATACAATTTTCCCACAGGTAACTCTCTCCATAAATCTAATTCAGTAGGTAAGCACACGGACATCATCCAGCCAAAGATACACTGCACAAAAGCATACTTCAACACAGATATTTTCATTTTTGTTTCATTATCACGTTTCATCAGTTATTGGAAATGACTAGCAACTCACTAAGGTAATCAATCATCAACTAAAACGCAATAGCTAAACACATTGTCATAGCTAACACAACACTGTATCTGTTCATAATCATGAAAATATTTGTGTTTTCTAGAACACTTTAATTATACCTCTAAATATTACCTTTTCGTGAATTTCTTGTGTAGACTGAGCATCACAAAACGCCACTGTGGCTACATCCTTCAGAATAGGCATTTCTACTGTACAATCCCTGCCATCCAGCAACGCTACCAAGGGGCGCGGGTGCATGGGCCCATTCATGATCGGAGGTCGAATGCCTATGAAGAAACAGAGAAGACTTATTATTCAAGCCATGCGAATGTAATAAAAAAATAGGTTATAGCTAGTCTGTTTATTCTGATGGCAGAAAAAAGATTTCAAGGACTGAAGCTAGTAAAACAGAAACAAGTTTACAGTCATCAATCAACCAAACACAGCAGACCTCAGAAAAAAATGCCATGGAGGCTCAGGAGGCTGAACAATGGAAGATGGATAAAACCACTAAGGGAATACAATATTTTTTTTTAAAGGGACATCCTTACTGCACTATGAAGAAATATTTGTGCAATCCTATCCACGGTTTATGTTTTGATTGGATTCCACACCTTTGTGAGCTCTACACAGAGTGAGAAATATCTTGTCCAGGCTTGTAAGAGCGTAGCTTATGGAATATCATAAGCAACTCAGTGAGGATTTGAGTATTCAGTTCACATATATGATGATGACCTGCTGAGACTAAAATTTAAGTGAAAAGAGCCTACGACAGAAAAATTCTGAATTTACTGAAGATCCAATGCCCAAATGTACAGGCTAATTGCTGGTCTATGTAGGTCTGCTTAGACTTAACAGTTTTACAAAACAATTCTGTACAGCTTAGTCAAACACACACATCATACTTAATCCACCATTGAAAATGGTTACAAAATACAAACAAAATGTCCCACCCTAAATCAACATCACACTTGGAACATCGTAAAGTGACAAAGAAATACATTTTAAATATCTGGGGGAAGGAAAATCAGTTGAAAAGTGCAGACTTCATTTATACCCTCCTTATGGAGTCTTAAAATGAAAAGTAATCCTTGTAACAAGATATTTAGAGAGCACCTTCTTAACAGTGTAGATGCTATAAATATACAAAAGTACTCAAGGGAATAATATTAAACCATTACATTTACACAAAAGTAGTTAAGTGCGGGTGGGGAAAAAAGGGACTTCCTGAAGAGATAAGGAAAAGCAAAACCGAGAATAAAGTACATAATTTTTTTCCTCTTTTAAAATAACTAGTTTTAAATACTGCAAAGTGAAGCAGGCTAGCTATTTTTTTTTTTTTGCAAATTTCAACGTATTTTTATTGCAGTGTGAATTTAAAAATATTGCTTATTGCTTGATAATACAAGTTAGTCCAACATTAATGCAAAAGACTGAGGTTCCCCGGCTATCTTCTACAAGAAATCCCTGCACCTTATGGCCCAGCCTGCGTCAAAAGCAAGCCCTGAAAGACTGTCATCTGTATTTTAAATGGATGGAAAATTAGTAGAATCCCAGCTGTACAAGATACCTGGTGAAGAAAAATGGCTGCTGGGAAAAGAGGTTTTCACAAGTCAACAGAAGCAGCGTATCGCTTCCCCACTGGGACCAAGCTCAGGTCTGGGGCTGAAGGAGTACAGCTAAGGAGACTGTGACCCTCGTAGCCTCCGCTGTCCAGCCTGCACCTGGACATTTCATGTCCACCCCTAACCAGGTCAGGATGACAGACCAGCCCCCCTACAATCCGGCATTTCAGTTTTTCACCTGTTCAAACAGGTTTTATACTTGAAGACGACTGAACAAGGATCACTGGAACTTTTCCTATATGCACACAGTTTCAGCTAGCACCCTACCTGCAAAACTTCTAGAAATTGCAGCTGGTTTTAATTTAACTGTAACTGCACGACACTTTAAATTACTTACTCAGCAGCAAACAGCAAAAGGATCTTTCGGACTCAAGGCAGGAGGACAACAGATCCTCACCAATCCTTCTGCGTTTGGTCACTAAAGTAGATTTGGTTCTTTTCTGTTCCAGTCCCAGCATCTCCCAACAACTGCTGATGCCAATGGACTGTAACGGCGGTGCTGTCACCGTAGCAGACAGGAATTCAGATGCAAAAAGTATTCACCAGCAAAGTACAACACCCATTAAGACTATTCTCTGTTGCAAATCCATCAATTCCTAATCTCTGCTGCAATAGACATGCTTCAAAATAATGCACAGATTCTTTCAGTAAACTAGTGTTTAATATCCAGCCACCAAAATTAAATGGAAGCCCTTTTAATATTGTTTTTAAAACTTGTGCATCTTGCCAACTTACTACTGTTACCTGTTAGAACCAGAAACGGCCACATAACCTTCGTACAGTCATTTTTAGTAAATAAACCACACACTAATAATGCGGTACCGCATACAAACACTACAATGCAAATGCTACATAGTTATGCAGACAATAATTACTATCCTTTAATGGGAACTTAATTATAAATCCCCACATTACATTTACTTAGAAGCACCCTAAAATAAAGCATGTTGTAGACTTGTTCATGTTTCTTTCAAAATAGTATACGTAATAGCATTAATAAAATGCAATTATGTTTTGAAACAAATGTAAAAATGACATTGCAAGTCCTATTCATACTGGATATAACAACGGCTCGTTTTACAACTGAAATGTTATGGTCATTGTCTTAATTGTCAGTCCAGAAAAGCCAGGATTTCAATGACAAGTTTAAATCCTAGCTAAAATAAATTTAAAAAAACAGAACAGAACTTTGATACTAAAGCTGTTGAAGATGAATGAGGAAAAATGTGGCACAGATGATTCCCTTAGAGCTACAACTAAAGCACATCTGTCAACAGAAGAGCACATACCGTCCAAACGGATAACAGAAGATGAGATTAAAAACTGTCACTTTTAAGAATCATTTTTCTGACTAGAGTTGCCTCAGAAAATCATGAAATACAGTATCACAAAACACAACCCTTTAAAATAATGATTTCTCTAAAGTATATAAAGGTGTGGTCTGGTTTTCCCCTCATGCCAGTGTATCTATCGATTTCAACCAAGTTACTTGTGTCTAACTAAGTGGCGTGCCAGAAAGAGCTCCAAAGCATAGAAACGAAAGTCGGAGAAACAACCGGAATGGTAAAACCTCCCCGAGAGAATCTCGGGCTTTGTTAAGAGTCCCCAGAACTCAAATACATACAGTGACCTTGACCGTGAAAACCCTACAAACCTTTGCTTGCCAAAATCTTTTCTGAGCTTCAGCATAGACTTCCTGTTGCCCAATCTTTCTGCCCAAATACCGTATCACTGAATCGCAGACAATAACTCAATGCTTAAGTAAACTTACAGTAACTTAACCACAGTGGCAGTCACTATTTAAAGTTTACATTTGGAAAGACACAGTTTCACTATGAATCAGAACCCTTTGAACAAAAAACTACTTCTTCCACCATATAGATACATTCTGCCTGTTTCTTATCTAGAAATGTCACACTGCACCATGTGTTTGGCTTTGCAGCAGACCCTTGGAGTGGCAGGATAAAGCAATGTGTATTTAAGAGCAGTATTTTCCATGGCTGCATTAACAGTAAATCATGCAACTCGGTGCCAGAGAGAAATAACTGTAAACCGGTCAAAAGTGACATTCGACACCACAAATGTGAAACTAATTTAAAAAAAATAATTTCACTTAGCTGGCTTATTTAAGTATATGGTATAGCATTTCACATAACACAGATAACAAAAATTATACCATCCACCCCCACATCCTAGAACCTTTGTTATGGGAAAACAATCTCAGTTTATCCTAACTCGAGACTTTCAGGAACCCCTACCAACCTGACATTTCTTAATCTGAGCTTGATTTCCAGGGTCATGAATTCGATTTCTCAATGCTTTACAATCTTCAGTATTCTGAGGCAAAATAGCAGCCTGTCATTCCATCCTCATTTCCATGTCTTTAATTTTTCTTGCAGCCTCCTGTAATCTTGAACCAAAGCTTTTAAACTTCTTATCCACTGCAACCTCTGTAGCCTGGATGGCGTTCAAATTTTTACTAAAAATTAAACACAAACAATACATTAAAACAACATTAAGGGTCTGACTTGTGCTCACAGAAGCCAGGCAACTCAAAGTTAAAGCTTCTCACTGCATCTGTACCCTTCCCCCTTTGGCTCCTGGCTTTCCACCACACCTGCTGTGCTGCCACCGGCCATTAACATACCAGGGAAACCAGCGGACTGTTAAGACGCACACCGCACCTTGCGCAGGACAGCAGGTGTATTGTAAACAGACATACCTGGAACAGTCGGCACCACTCATGCGGCAAACGTTTTGCCTAGGTGAGCAGGGCTCTGAGGAGAGCGTCTGATCTCCAATACCACCCGCGCTGGAGAGCCAAGCGCTCCAGCGAGTACTGGAGATGGAGTGAGAAGCCTTAACTCTGAACATGCTGGTTTTGTTGGGTGTATGTCAGGCCCTTAAGGTTATCTAAATGTATTTAAGGGGAAAAAAAAAAAGTTTCCCATGTTTCCCATGACAGGTCTAATCCAGCTATTCGTTTAGGGTTTCCCCTCGCCCCCCAAATACGGAAACAATCTGGTGGCGAAGCTCTTGCCCCAGTAACCGCTACCGTGCCAGTGACTGCTGGAATTTTTCTAAAATGCTACCAGGTATAATGTGCACACACAGCCAGCCAGCAGCTGTCGGTATGTAGCAGCTATTTGCCAGTCACCTAACAGAAGAGTGCCTTTTCCTGCGATTTGGACTAGCTGCTCTTAGATAAAAAGTCTCAAAACCTTATTCTAGTCCAGCTTTTATGGAAAAAATCTTGGAAATATAAAAAGCAGCTTTCAGCTGCAGAACCCGAGAGGAGGCCAGCCCCATGCACGAGCATTTCAAGTGATTGCGGCTCTCTCACAAACCAGAGGATTAATGAACTTATCACCCAGCTTTGTAACCAAACCGGGAGAGGACGGCTCGTGAATTATTACCTCCGTACTCTGGCAGCATGGGGACTTACAAATTGTCAGACCAACCTTAGCACGAGATGGATTTTTTTAAACTTGAAAGAAAAAAAAAAAAGGTACCTAAGCGGGCTAGTTTCCTCCTACCTGCACCTCCCGTCACTCCTGAAACAAAGGTGCACTGGTGTGTGCCACGCTCCGAGGGGGAGAGTTGAAGCCAATACTATTCGACATACTCACAGTTGGAAGATACGAAAGCTCTCCCTGACGTAC